CTGACCCATTCATGCATTCACATACAGTGGTTTCCACTTTGTATTAAAAACCCCTGCTGATGTTATTATAGTGTGATGATATAGAACAATTAAATAGCCTTTTAAATAGCGAGGATCAGGCAGAGGATCAAAGTCTAATAATTATGAGATATGGATAAATATTTATGGGCCTATGATATAAAACACAATAAACAATTATTGAGGTTAGTACAACAAATGGAATGGCATGTGGGTAAATGTCTATGACAAGCGCAAATCAATACACCAGAGCTGGAGGAACCACTTGCCAATTCACGGTGTGCCAGTCAACTACAGCAGTGTGCTGGCGTTGCTCTGCAGTTATAGGGGATGTGAATGGAAACATCCAATATGTACTTACATCACCCAGATGTGCCAATCACTGCAGACACAGGAAAAAACAAACCAGAGGCTAGCTCCTTCTCCCCACTGCTTTTAAGCAGCCTCAGGACACAAAAGCAGAATGGGTTACAGTGTAGGTATATGAATGGAAACACACTGGGCATGATAACGCACACATCAAGCTACCAAACAATGTTATTTCTTCATAATGGAGACGGACATAAAGTAATAACATTAAAAAATAGTGGCGGGGCTTTTACTCACCACAACTGCAGAGACTACCAGCTTAATTCATATAATGAATGGCATGACATACACAAGAACCTTCAAGGGATGTTTTTTCTGGTGGTGCACTCGTGGAAGTGAAGCAGTGTGGATTAGTGTGGTTAAATGAAAAGTGAAAGCAATAAACAGTTTATTATGGGTGGTAACGTGTTACATGCAAATATAATAATATTACCCGAAATCCTGTTGGTAACACATTGGCCTCTAGTTTCGCAGATCGGGCGAGGCGGAGGCACCTGCGCTTCGCCAACTAGGTGTGGCCAGGCCGATTTTGCACGTTTGGCACACCGTGCGCGCTGGCGCAGCTACTCCTCTTTCCCACCTCCATCCCTCCTACCTGCGCAAGTAGGAAAGAGGGAGGAGAGAAGGCGTGGAGTGGGTTTTACACACATCACACCAATGAAATGAGCCCCTCTCCTCGCCCTTAAATGCGCCGCGCGAAGGCGTAATGAGAGTTTACTCAATTCGCCATGGCAGAAGAGAGCAGCAGCGTCAGACGGCCAAACTTCTCCCAGGAGGAAACTGATGTTTTGGTCCGGGAGGTCCAAGCTGGCAGTGTCCGAATATACGGAACTGCGAGCAGACCTCCACGGGCTGATGATGCAAAGGTAGCCTGGGAGGAGGTCACCACAATCGTAAATCAATGTTGTGTTTCTCTCGTGTGTGTGCGCTCTTTCTTTCTCTCACACAGTCTCACTCTGTTTCTTTTCTTTTGACTTTTCTAAGATGACAGATGCTGAATATATACTCCCTATCTGATGCTGTGGCTGTTTGTGGTTGGCTGAGAGGGATGTGAACTCATTAGTTTGCAGCTGTGTTAATCAAATCAGGTTGGGTTTCCATTACGCGTGCCAAACGTGCCAAACGGTGCCAATCCCCTTTGATCTGACATCAGATGTGACGGGACAGTCGATATAGAGATACATTTATCTCTGGGGCGAAGAGGTTGGTCGGCAATTGCTGGTCTACTTCGTTATGATTACTCGCTTATAATAATGGTGAAAACAATACTGTTGGCCGTTCGATATTGTTGTCAAAGTTGTTATTAACACGCAAAAATGTTGAACACTGCAGATAAAAGAAAATTGGATAAGCAAAATTTAAAAGTTTGAAATAACTTTGATCGTGAGCACAAAAGAGTTACGCAGGAACCAAACTTTGATATGTTATGTGCAATGGACACACACTCTTCCCATTATGGTCAAAATTGATTCTTAACATCCAATTAAAAATACAAATTAACATTAAATCAAAATACAATTATTATGCCACGTATATAAGCGGAGTACCATATAAACTAGGCTAGTTCAAATACACACACTCTAGACTAACCTATAGTCAGAGTTGGGTAAGGGTTACTTTAAAAGTAATCAAAATACTTTACTGCGTTACTTTTTTGAAAAGTAACAAGTTACTTTACAAAGTTACTCCCTAAGAAAAGTAACTCAAGTACTTTTAAAGTACTTCCAACGTTACTCCCTGAGAAAAGTAACTCAAGTACTTTTAAAGTTCTTTTGAGTATTCTACATTTCCTATTGGGCAATGAACCACAGGGCGCTTAGCCTACATTTTTCCCCAAAATTAAAGTTATGGACCACTTGCCCTTCACTGAGATCCAATTCTCCCATCACAGCCGTCACTTTGACCAGTAGAAACACAGAACAGTCTGCTGCCATAGACAACTGTAGGGCAACAACACCCCAGCGTTTTCAACATTTCCTCTAGGGATGTTACCACACAGAGTAAAAGGGGGAAATGATGGTGTGAAACAGCAGAAGCACTTTGTCAACCCAGTGAGTTAATGTTACTGTCATTAGCATCAAGCTAGCAAACAATGTTATTTCTTCATAATGGAGACGGACATAAAGTAATAACATTAAAAAACAGTGGCGGGGCTTTTACTCACCACAGCTGCAGAGACTACCAGCTTAATTTGAAACAGACTACATTATAGATGGTCTGTTTTTTATTAATCCCCCTGTATCTTTATATTTTCACTTTTTATCTGCTCCCGTTGTCTTCATAAAGTTAATGCATCGCACCATCATTTCAAACTCAACACTTCCTGAATTTGTTTCACATTAAAAGCCACTTATAACTTCAGCTGAGAGAATCCCTCCATTTTCTAAATAGGCTTTTATTGTGAAACATTTGTAGGAACTTGGTTGTGGAGGATTCAGTAGCTTGAATGCTTGCGTACAGTACTTCAAATGTAGCTCCTGCCATCTGCTGGCGCTTTTTAGATGACTACAGCAACATTCCGGCTGGCACATGAACAGACACAGTGACTGAAATAATACTAAAAGTAATAAAAATAGGACAAGAAAAACCCAATGACATGAAAGACAACCGGTCCGGGGATAATTGGTGAGTACCATCGTGTAGTGTGTCATGTCTGCCACCCAAGTCACGGCACAATTTTATGACTCCACAATCGTGTAATGTGACATAGTGACTTTCAGAACGGGCAGAAAAGTTGTGTAGTGTGTACCAGGCATAATGCAAGTCCTGAGTCTGACCTATCTGTCAGCGAGTCTTCCTCCACCTTTTGAGTCGTGGGGATTTTGCTGACGATCCTGCAGAATGTTTTAGACTCCACCGTAGACAATGGCAGCATTTCTTCTACCATGTGGCGAGCCACAAGCTTTATGACTGCTTTCGGACTGATAGGTTTAATGTTATCTCCGTCATTAGAACCAAAAGACAGTCTTTGCTGTTTCGGAGCTGAAGGACCAGCGTTCTAAAAGTAATGGAAGTAACTGATGGCTTGTTTGAAAATGTACTCAAGTATTTAATTACTCAAACAGCAAACTAACGCGTTAGGTTTCTCGTTACTGCAAAAAAGTAATCAAAGTACTCTATACCCAACTCTGGTAGCAATATATAATGAAAAACAAAATGAAGAAGCACATATTCATGCAAACAAGTTGATTAATGAACCCAAATTATATCTTAATTCTAACTATGTGGACTTCCTTACGGGAACTCTTCTTAACTCCGCCACAAGATGGCAGTACGGCTCCATGTTAGATGAGGTGTTAACAGTCGAAATTGAAATTGAATTTATCAATCTTTTGTTTTACAGGGTTAAAGCAAAGTATCATTCAGATAGAAAACATGGATTATGCACATGTACAAGTTTAGAACATAGGAAAGCAACCAACAAAAAGGAAACAAATGTTTAATCTCACTTCCAACAAACATTTCAATTTTGTCACACAGAAACATTTGGTAAGAGAGGGGAGGGCGTAATCCCCGGGGTGACAGGAAGGGACAGGATGTGGTTGAAACAGAAGCTTTGTCTTAAGATCCTAGCAGGGCTGTTAATCAAGGTGTGTTACCCCAGGGCGGAGGACCCTTTACAAGTTAATGACTTAAAAAGCATTTGAAGTACCTCAAATGAACCCTTTACCCCCCCCCCCCCCCCCCCCCCTTTGGCACCCGGATGTCTGGAGGACGCATCCCTCCTGATCGGAGTAAGCTCGGGGGCAGGGAAATAAACATTTGACCCTCACTTGTGGCCTCCTCATTGTCTATTTACTTGTAGTCCAGAATCTGGAGAGTTTAGGAAGGCTGTATGCTCCTACAGTTGTGACTTAATGAGTTGGTCTTTCTTGGTAGTTTTACATTACATGTTACCGCTTGTCATCATGGTGAATTATTGTGTTTGTGCGAGCCTCATGCCTGTCAGGAAGTCCGGCTGCAGTGTTTCTAACAAGGAAAAAGACATATGCTAGCTTTTGTACCTGGATGCATTTTGTGCAGGTGAAGACTTCATTAGTTTATCTATAACATCACACACAGCTGTGTTCAGCATTCATTTTCGACAGGAGGTCTATGTTCAATGCAATATGATGAAGTTCACAATGGGATGTTGGAGCCAGGATTGTATGGGGCTGATAGCTGCTGCAGTTCCTTCGATACACATCACTGCCTCATCAGCTCTGCCTCACAGTTTCTGGTGGTCCCACCAGCAGAAGTAATGGTCCCGGATCCATCAGAGATTATGCTCCAAAAAAATGTGATGTGTTCACCTGTCCTGAAAAATACCTGTTTTGTTGTTTGTTGGTCTGGAACAGTTAAATGGACTGCGCTTGCACTGCACTGGAAAAAGATAATCTTGGTAATTTCTTGAATGCGCTGATCAAAACAGGGGGAATGATCGAATGTAACACCAAGGTTCTGGGCTGTCAAACACTGAGAAATCACACAGTTCTTGAGAGTTACTTGGTTAAACTAATGTCTATGTCCAGCAAGGCCAATGACCAGCATCCCAGTTTTATCCGAATTTAAGATGAAGTTAAAAAGTTATATTTATTATACAAGGTTCTTCCTGGTTTTTCCCCTTTCCTCAGGACGTTATGTCGAGAATCATGGAGTAATCCACAACATCTGGTTCAACACTACCACTCAGGAGAAGAAGCAGTACTACATGACTCAGTTTGTTGATTCCTACTGGGACAATGGCAGCTTACCCATCTGGATAACAGCACAAAGACAGGTTCTTTAGATCCATCTTTTTGTTTCCTGGTTGCCGACCTAGAATGTCTGTATTATCTATCTATATCATCCAATCCTTTGTGGGATCACAATTACAGGAGTACTTTTGTTTTTAATTAATGAATGATTGTCTTATCTCCTTTCAGGGTCTAAAAGCAGGCTCTCTGCATTTCCCTGGCACAGCAGCCACCTACAAAGAAGAGACTGTGAAGGTTAGGCAAGTGGAACCTCGTTTCTATGATCATTCTAATGAGACAGAATGGAGGCTGAACATTGATAAGGTCATTGGGGAGTGGTTCCACCAACAGGACCTAGACTTTGTGTCCTTGTATTTCGGAGAACCAGATTTGGCTGGTCATGAATTTGGACCAGATTCCCCAGAATGCCGTGCAATGGTTCAGCAAGTGGACCGTACTCTGGGCTACATCCGGGACAAGATCCAAGACCATGGCCTTACTGACCGGCTCAACATTATCATCACTGCCGACCACGGGATGACTAGAATTCTACGGGATGGACTAGTTGAGGAGATCATCCTCTCTAAGATTCCTGGCTTCAGCTTCAAAGATATCCAGTTCCAACTGTTGGATTATGGTCCTGCTGGCATGCTGCTTCCGAAAGAGGGGAAACTGGAGAAGGTCTACCAGGCTCTGAAAGGAAGCCACCCTCATCTTCATGTGTATAAAAAGGAGGAGCTGCCAACTAGACTGCACTACAGTAACCATCCTCGACTCCTGCCCATCATCCTCATTGCTGACCCTGGATACATTGTCAATGGGGTGAGAGAATCTTTGTATGTTAGGCAGCTGAAGTGTTTGATTTGCTTTGATTGGGGTATAAAAGTGCAGCCTTTGTGCACAGTCCCATCTTGTTTAAATGTCATCTTCAAACACTACAAACATAAAATCAATCAATCAATCAATCAATCAATCAATTTTATTTATAAAGCCCAATATCACAAATCACAATTTGCCTCACAGGGCTTTACAGCATACGACATCCCTCTGTCCTTATGACCCTCACAGCGGATAAGGAAAAACTCCCCAAAAAAAACCCTTTAATGGGGAAAAAAAATGGTAGAAACCTCAGGAAGAGCAACTGAGGAGGGATCCCTTTTCCAGGACGGACAGACGTGCAACAGATGTCGTACAGAACAGATCAGCATAATAAATTAACAGTAATCCGTATGACACAATGAGACAGAGAAAGAGAGAGAGAGAGAGAGAGAGATGCAGGTAATGACAGTAGCTTACAACAACATTATTGAAAGTAATAATATTATAGTTATATTTCTGGCTACTGTGGTACAATATGTTGAAAGTATGTATTAATATCTGGTAGTATACATGTGTGACAATAGTCATATGTGTATAATAACAGTAGAAGTATGACTAATGACTAATGATGGCAGCAGCAGCAGGAGGCATCTGGCAGGACCACGGCAGCAGCACAACCACACACGTCACGCTGTCCAGGCACCGCTGCGATATGAGTTAATCTGAGAGACAGTGGAGCACAAAGGCTCCGGAGAAGAAGCCGAGTTAGTGACATCCAGAATGGCCGAGTTAGCAAGATGCAGTAACAGGACATGAGAGAGAGAGAGAGAAGGAGAGAAGGTGCCCGGTGTATTACAGGGGGGTCCTCTGGCAGACTAGGCCTAAGTCAGCCTAACTAGGGGCTGGTACAGGGCAAGCCTGAGCCAGCCCTAACTATAAGCTTTATCAAAGAGGAAAGTCTTAAGTCTAGTCTTAAATGTGGAGACGGTGTCTGCCTCCTGGACCATAACAGGAAGATGATTCCACAGGAAAGGAGCCTGATAGCTGAAGGCTCTGGCTCCTGATCTACTTTTGGAGACTTTAGGGACCACGAGTAACCCTGCATTCTCAGAGTGCAGTGTTCTGGTGGGATAATATGGCACTATGAGCTCTCTAAGATATGACAGAGCTTGACCATTTTATAATTTTACAGGGAGCCAGTGCAGCGAAGCTAAAACAGGAGAAATATGATCTTGTTTCTTAGTTCCTGTTAGTACACGTGCTGCTGCATTCTGAATTAGCTGGAGAGTTTTTAAGGACTTACTAGAGCTACCTGATAATAGAGAGTTACAGTAATCCAGCCTTGAGGTAACAAAAGCGTGGACCAATTTTTCTGCATCTTTTTGGGTCAGGATAGGCCTAATTTTCGCAATATTATGCAGATGAAAAATGCAGTCCATGAGATTTGTTTTAAATGAGAATTAAAAGACAAATCTTGATCAAATATTACTCCGAGGTTTCTTACGGTAGTGCTAGAGGCCAGAGCAATGCCATCTAGAGAAACTATGTCATCAGATAAAGAGTCTCTCAGTTGTCTGGGGCCAAGAACAGTAACTTCAGTTTTTTCTGAATTTAACATCAGGAAATTGGTGCTCATCCAAGTTTTTATGTCTTTAAGGCAGTTATGGAGTTTAGTTAATTGATTACTTTCTTCTGGCTTCATCGATAAATACAACTAAGTATCATCCGCATAACAATGGAAATTTATAGAGTGATTTCTAATGATGTTACCTAAAGGAAGCATATATAGAGTAAATAGGATTGGTCTGAGCACAGAACCTTGCGGAACTCCAAAACACACTTTGGTACGTAAGGATGATTCATTATGAATGTCAACAAACTGAAAACGATCAGATAAATAAGATTTAAACCAGCTTAGTGCAGAACCTTTTAGGCCAATTAAGTGATCCAGTCTCTGCAGTAGAATTTGATGGTCAATTGTGTCAAACACTGCACTAAGATCTAATAAAACAAGTACAGAGACAAGTCCTTTGTCTGAAATTATTATCATGGAGAAAATCACACAGCTGGTCTGCGACTACTTTCTCAAGGATCTTTGACATAAAGGGAAGATTAGATATTGGTCTATAGTTGGCTAACACCTCTGGATCCAGAGTGGGCTTTTTTAGTAGAGGTTTAATTACAGCTACCTTAAAGACTATGGTACATAGCCTGTTAATAAGGATATATTGATCATATCTAATATATGAGTGTTAACTAAAGGAAAGACCTCCTTAAGTAGCCTAGTTGGGATGGGGTCTAAGAGACAAGTTGATGATTTAGATGAAGAAATCACTGCGGTCAATTCTTGAAGAGAAATTGGGGAGAAGCAATCTAAATATATATTAGGTTTTACAGCTGTGTTTGAGGTTAGATAGGTACTATCTGAGGACAGGAGGTCATGAATTTTGCCTCTAATAGTTAGAATTTTGTCATTAAAAAAGCTCATAAAATCATTACTGCTAAGGGCTAAAGGAATACAAGGCTCAATAGAGCTTTGACTCTCAGTCAGCCTGGCTACAGTGCTGAAAAGAAACCTGGGGTTGTTCTTATTGTCTTCTATTAATGCTGAGTAATAGTTTGCTCTGGCATTGCGGAGGCCCCTCTTACAAGTTTTGAGACTGTCTGTCCAGATTAAACGAGATTCTTCCAGTTTGGTTAATCGCCAAGTCCTTTCAAATTTTAGCGATATTTGTTTTAACTTACGGGTTTGAGAGTTATACCAAGGAGCAAACTTTCTTTGCTTTTTTAACTTCTTTTTTAGAGGAGCTACAGAGTCAAGTGTTGTTCTCAGCGAGCCTACGGCACTATCAACAAAATGATCAAAGTCGGTACAGGAAACCTCTGTTACTGAGGGACTTGGTATTGAATTTAATGACGGAGTAATCTTTTCCTTAAATTTTGCGACAGCACTATCTGATAAACATCTAGTATAGTAACTGTTGCTGACTGGCGTGTAATCGAGTAAAAAGAAATCAAAAGTAATCAGATAATGATCCGATAGAGAGGGATTCTGTAGAAAGACTTTTAGGTTATCAATTTCAATTCCATATGTCAGAACTAGATCGAGGGTATGGTTAAAACAGTGAGTGGGTTCATGTACACCCTGACTGAAGCCAATGGAGTCTAATAATGAAATAAACGCAGTAGCCAGGGAGTCATTATTAACGTCGACATGAATGTTAAAATCGCCTACAATAATAACTTTATCTGATTTAAGAACTAAACTGTCTAACTAAAAACAAGTCATACACATTTAATATGGATGCCTTGTCCTTTACCACTGCATCTTATTCAAAAGGTACTGTATGATCATGGGGTGTCATTAATCTTCTAAGACACACACCACTAGGGATGGGAATCGAGAACCGGTTCCTGTTAAGAACCGGTTCCAACTGGTTCAATTCACTGACATCATTAGCCTTTATGCTCAATGATTCCCTTATCCCTTATGGGCCAGGGAGGACAGATGGTTTGAAAGAGAAGTAGAAGAAGACATCTACGTCAAGCTGGAACGACCATCGTTAAACAGAGGGGGTGGCTTATGACACTACTTATCCCCACTTACAATGTAGTCTTGGGATCCCTCCCCAGATGACTTCAGACCCATTCACCCCTGGTCCCACCTGACCCTAACGACTCACATGGTGGCCAGGTGGGTCAACGACTCACTGTGACCTTAACGACTCTGAAACTAAGAGCTCACGTGACCCCTATGACTTCGTACCAGTCATTTCGAACTGAAGAAGCTTCTTGGAAACGCAAGCAAGTCCAGTTACCTACGCTATTAGTACTTACGATTACCATGACCTGGATGACTGAGAATCTTCACTGACACGATTCCCTTATTGATTCTTTTCATTACGCTAAATCTTTACATCGATGACGCATGTCACGCCTGTCAGTCAGCACGTTCAACAACAAAGAAGATGTAATGGCGGAGAGACAGAAACGGTCGAAAGCAAGGCTTCACTTCACCAAAAAAGACTAACAGCGCGACGTGCAATTTATGCAGCACCGTAATTACATGCAAGGGCGGAAACACCACCAACTAGGCCTGAACAATTTATCTTTTAAGCATCACCATCACAATGCCCATGTGTGCAATATTTACATCGCGGGGCTTGTGACATATGGCTTGCCCTAATTAAATTAAGCATGCACGTTTAAATTGCCGAGTGATGCATGTAAAACTTGCTTCCATTTTAATGACTGACCAACAGAGATGTCTAATTTACTGGAATAAAGAATAAACGGCCTATTCAAGTGCTGGAATTTGTTATTTATGTGACAACACCTGAATGGAATACAGGCTCCACTCCACTGACTGTGTGTACAGTGCCGTGCTGCGGGTTCAGGCTGGTCACGGTTATAGATGTCTCAGACTCGGGAAAATGCGGTCAGAGCTGTGCTCTAGTGTGCTCACCTGTGTCTGTGTGTGTGAGTGCGTACGTGTCTGTGTGTGTGTGTGTGCGCGCATCGGGGCCTAACTCCGCAGTGCGCGATACAGAGAGCAGAGGAGGATTGTAAGGCAAGACCCTGTAGAGACAGAAATGACATGCCGTTGTGTAAACAATATAAGTCTTCACGTTATAAGGTGAAACGTTTCGCCATATAACACGATAAATAGTATATTGTTTTGTTATTATATGAAGCATCCGTTGCGCAAAATAATATAACTTTAGTTTATGAAGAGATAAGATGGAGCCCTCTCCTCTCTTCTTACATGCTTTGCCCACAAGTGTGTGAATTGGCCTGGATATGAAGCATCTGTAGCCCCAAATAATATAACGGTAGTTTCTAAAGCGCTAAGACGGAAAAAAAGGAAAAATAGTTGTATATAGGGGAAACACTGAAAGAGATGGTGGTTTCACTGAACAAATGCCTATTTTCAGCACATTTTATGCCGTTGCATTCAAAGCAATATCAGTCTAATAATTCTAGAATGATTAATTCTCACCAAGTAGAGCTACTGAAGTCATCTGGTGGAAAATAATGCATCCTTAAAAAAAAAAAAATATCCGTGGGAGCATTTTTTTTCCAATATCGTGCAGCCCTACCACCAACATGCTGAAGCATTTGTCATGGCATTAAGTGCAGCTGCAACAAAGTCTCAGCAGAGCAGTGCCAGTGACAGTACGTATGTCCTGTCCCATGTTATTGATAGCACAACACATTCAGTGACAGATTCTGTAACGTTATTTGACGTAGATGAAAACAAATGCTGTAAAAATATTCTTTCATTTGTTCCATTTTAGATGATAGCGGTCAACCAATTTCATATTTGTTTACTTACACAAGCACTTGTCTCTTGTTTAGAATAGAAACTCAATAAAATTTGTGTTGTAGACACCGAAAACCTGTAAGAACCTGTAAGAATCCTATCAGTTCCCATACCTGCATACCACTTAATCAAATTATCCTGGTTCAACCTCACATTTTCGGTCTCTTGAATATATTCTATCAAATAAAGGTAATAAGGCTCCAATTTTTTTTCATGACCATATTTCTCATGGAACCTCTGATTTCTGTCCATATAGTTCTTACCTGTGCACTACGTAAAAGGAGACCACGGCTTTGATAATGAAATCATGGACATGAAAGCTTTCTTCAGGGCAGTGGGGCCTGACTTCCAAAAAAACATGTTGGTAGGCCCCTTTGACCTGGTTGACGTGTACCCTCTGATGTGCCATCTACTGGAGATTAACCCAGAGGTCAACGATGGACACTTGAACAATACCAAACACATGCTGGTTCCTAGGAAAAACACAGGAGGAAACAACAACAGTAAGTGTTTAACTATATTCCAACAAGTCCTCTGACCCATATGACAACATAGGTCGTACAGTATGTTTCTACCATTAAACATGTGCATCAGCTTTATGCAGAGCCTACGCCGTAGCCCATACACATGGCTTACGCTGTTCTGAGAATTTATACCCGTGCTGTGGTATGTCTGTCACTCTGCAGTTGCACTTCCAAAACACTAGTAGGCGCTGGGGTTTCTGTGAAGTACTTTAAAGTTTAGTTGATTCAAAACACACACTAAACATTGCTTAATAGCGACAATTTCAAAAACAAGTACACAAAATGACTTCATTATAACTCACATTTTCCCCACAAATACAAGATGCTAATATTATTAGCAGAAGTCTATGGCATTTTACATGTATAAATTAGCCTAGCGGCTAGCAGAGATTTCCTCTACTCCTGAAGCCAGCAGGGTTACCAACTTTGGTCAGAGGGCCGGAGTAAGATTTTACCTTATGACGTAATCAATCAATCAGTCAATCCATTTTATTTATAAAGCCCAATATCACAACTCACAATGTGCTACTGTGGTACAATATGTTGAAGGTATATATTAATATCTGATAGTATACATGTGTGACAATAGTCATATGTGTATAATAACAGTAGAAGTATGACTAATGACTAATGATGGCAGCAGCAGCAGGAGGCATCTGGCAGGACCACGGCAGCAGCACAACCACACACGTCACACTATCCAGGCACCGCTGCAATATGAGTTAACCTGCGAGACAGTGGAGCACAAAAGCTCCGGAGAAGAAGCCGAGTTAGTGACATGCAGTACGGCCGAGTTAGCAAGATGCAGTAACAGGACATGAGAGAGAGAGAGAGAGAGAGAGAGAGAGAGAGAGAGAGAGAGAAGGTGCCCAGTGTATAAAAGGAGGTCCCCTGGCAGACTAGGCCTATGTCAGTCTAACTAGAGGCTGGTATAAGGCAAGCCTGAGCCAGCCCTAACTATAAGCTTTATCAAAGAAGAAAGTCTTAAATCTAGTCTTTAATGTGGAGACGGTGTCTGTCTCCCGGACTGCAACAGGAAGATGATTCCACAGGAAAGGAGCCTGATAGCTGAAGGCTCTGGCTCCTGATCTACTTTTGGAGACTTTAGGGACCACGAGTAACCCTGCATTCTCCGGGCGCAGAGTTCTGGTGGGATAATATGACACTATGAGCTCTCTAAGATATGATGGAGCTTGACCATTTAGAGCTTTATAAGTTAACAGTAGGATTTTAAATTCAATTCTGGATTTTACGGGGAGCCAGTGCAGAGAAGCTAAAACAGGAGAAATATGATCTTGTTTCTTAGTTCCTGTTAGTACACGTGCCGCTGCATTCTGAATTACCTGGAGAGTTTTTAAAGACTTACTACAGCTACCTGATAATAGGGAGTTACAGTAATCCAGCCTGAGGTAACAAAAGCGTGGACCAATTTTTCTGCATCTTTTCGGGTCAGGATAGGCCTAATTTTCGCAATATTACGCAGATGAAAAAATGCAGTCCATGAGATTTGTTTTAAATGAGAATTAAAAGACAAATCTTGATCAAATATTACTCTGAGGTTTCTTATGGTAGTGCTAGAGGCCAGAGCAATGCTATCTAGAGAAACTATGTCATCAGATAAAGAGTCTCTGAGTTGTTTGGGGCCAAGAACAATAACTTCAGTTTTGTCTGAATTTAACATCAGGAAATTGGTGCTCATCCAGGTTTTTATGTCTTTAAGGCAATTATGAAGTTTAGTTAATTGAATACTTTCTTCTGGCTTCATTGATAAATACAACTGTGTATCATCCACATAACAATGGAAATTTACAGAGTGATTTCTAATGATGTTACCTAAAGGAAGCATATATAGAGTAAATAGGATTGGTCCGAGCACAGAATATCTGCTTTTGCGTGTGTGGTCATGAACATACGTGGACACGGCGGAACATTTTATTTTTTACCTTAAAAGAGTTAATATGCACATGTGGCAAACAGAAGAAATGGGTGTACGTTTACATATTCATATCTATAGGCCTAAGCTCCACATACATCCATAGACGCTCAATATTTGTTTTAGGGTGCAGATCAAGGTCAGTTTCATCAATCTGATGGTAGCATTGATCATCTGCTTAAAAAATCCAGTAATATGACCTGTTGTGACAAAAAGAAAGAATTGAAAGGGGGGATCAGGGGTTTCTCCCTCGAGAAAACTTTGAAAATTCACACGGCGAAATCCTATTTTCATGCAATTTCATACAGAAATAGATAAATTCAAGGACTTTCAATGACCTATGTACATTTATGAATATTTTCAAAAACTTTCCAGGGCCTTGAAATGTTTTTTTTTAATTCACAAACTTTCAAGGATTTCAAGGACCCGTGGGAACCCTATTGATTTATCATGTTTTATATGGCCTTTTGAGACTCAGTCATAAAACATGGTAAATGTTCGCATCTGTGAGCCCCAGGAGAAAAATGTAGGCCTTAAGCCTACAGTTACGTTTAATTAAGAAAACCCAATGTAAACTGCCATTTACTTCTTCTGCTAAAAAATGCAATTTAAGGCCAGGAATGATCATGGCATGTAACTAGACATGAGCAGTTAATTACCCGGAATTTTCATTTGAAACAACCCAGTGTATGCATTGTAAGCAATTCTATATAATAAGGTCATGCCATAACTCAGCATTAACCAATTAATTAGTATATGCTGTTCCCATGTTTGTCCACTAGATAGCTGTAGAAGGCAATGAGTGAACTTAAAGCAATACTCTGGCGTTATTCAATCCATAGCTCTGTTGTCTTAGTTCTCAGAATGCTGTCCATTTGAAAAACAAGAAAATTTGTAGGAGACTAGGGGAAGGACGAAGTAGCATGAAGTTCAGGGTAGCCCCACGAGACCTAAACTTGCTTTCTGAGAATAGTATGGAGTCCGGTCAAGCTACGCTGGACATAAAAAAAAAAAAAAATTAAAAAAAAGGAACGGTGGAGTGAGATTTCTTAAACGGTCGTGAAAGAGTGACATTGATGGTGAAAGAGTGACAGTGACGCCGGATGCGCGAGAGTTGGCAACGCTGAGCCAGGGACAACAGCAACATTTAACAAAGGTACAAAATCCAGCTCCATTACAACTCATTACAACTCCTCTAATCTATCCTATCTTCTATAGGATAAATCAAACATAAAACTTAAAATATTGGGACGCCTAAAAGCTCAGCGGGTAGAGCGAGCATTCCATGTACAAAAGCAATCTCCTTGTTGCAGCGGCCATAGGCTCAATTCCAGCCCATGGCCCTCTGCTGCACATCACCCCTCCTCCCTCCCTCCCTCCTTCACGCCCAACACTTTCCTGCCTAATAAAGACAAAATAGCCATAAATATAATCTTTAAAGACTTAAAATATTATGTTGTGGGGGCTTTATTGTCTTCACAATTTATTGTTTCTCATCTGTGAAATAAAAGTAAATAAAAGCTTCTCTTCCACTGAGGGGAATGGTTTCAGCAGGAAGTTTGCGTCACAGCAACGTGTAGTTAAAGTTCTGGTGAGGTGCACATCAGGCTACGGCGTAGGTTACAGCATAGGCTCTGTGACGATGCAGAGCCTATGCTGTAGGTGTGGCATCAATTTGATGCAGAAGTATAAATCCTGCTTAATATGACTCATGGGACCTTCCTTAAAGTAGCCCCTCAAATGAGAGAATAGCTCATATTTGACCATTCACAGTCACAGTTTAAAACAGTGGTTAACATTGTGACACCATCACAATTGCACCACAATTACATGGTTAGGTTTAGCCAACACAACTCCTTGGTTAGGTTTAGAGAAATATAATGGTTTGGCTTAAAATTGGTACATTTGTTACCAACCTAACTTGAGGCATCTTATGTGAGATGTCACATGACATACGACTATGTTACATAACCAACTCAAAGCTGACTTTTGCTTTCACATGCAATGCAAATACCAGTCTCCTAGATGAACGTCCTTCATTTGATTTTCCCATTTACCATCCTTCTCTCCAACCTATAAGCGGACTTTGTCATCTTTGTAATACACCACCTGACTTCATCCTTTACTCCATTCATAGTAACTACAGCCATATGAGGTCACTGTGAATATGGGTTGCAATTAAGAGGTGTCCTTAAGGGCTTGAAAAATAAAGCCAGCGTGGAAGTACCAAAAAGTGCAGTTCTGTGAATAATCGCTTGAGGCTGGCTCCAGAAGCTAGTCAGTCCCCACTGACCCCCATGTTGAAATGCCCAACTTTACAGCAGAAATAAACATGTTTACAGCCTGGTACAAAAAAAAAAAAAAACAACAGTTTTAGTTTCTTTAGTTAATTTCAACATTCATGACAGCTGTATGGGGGGTGTATTTTTATGTAACTCACCTGTTACATTTCATCAACGCTTAAAGTTATGCATATTTATGGGTGTGGCTGCTTGAGTAAAGACCAACTCAGTGGCCTAGTGGTAGAGTGTCCACCTTGAGACTGGGAGGTCGTGGGTTCGATCCCCGGCCAGGTCATACCAAAGACTATAAAAATGGGACCCATTGCCTCCTTGCTTGCCACTCAGCATCAGGGGTTGGAATTGGGGGGTTAGATCACCACATGATTCCCGAGCGCGGCACCGCTGCTGCTCACCGCTCCCTCAGGGGATGGGTCAAATGCGGAGAACAAATTTCCCACACTCAGGGACAATCAGTGGGACTTTACTTTACCTTAATTTACCTGAGTGATAGGCCGTCTGCAGGGTGTTGGGTCAGTTCTGATGAAGGCCAAAATGCGTAACTCAAGGCTTCAAAAGCCACAAACCAATGGGTGACAACATGGTTATTAAGTCCACTATTCAATACAGCCTATAGTTTTAATTCCTGCTTATACAAACATTATGGCGTCATACTCTGGAGGACAGTCTCATATATTCACTTAAATAAATATATTACCATTAATTCAGTGCTAGTTGCTAATACATAGAATACTGTATAATATATGTTTTTCAAAGTGTATGATGAAACACAACTTGAAATATTAATTGTGTAATTGTGAGGAGAGTCAAAGTTCATTCTGAACCTTTACAATCAGTACACTTACATGACATTAGAGAAAACTGATTTATTCTGTTAGTCTGACTTAAACCAGACTTTTAATATACATTTAGAAATTGTACCAAATCAAATTTCTCAGACTAACACACCCAGATATTGCAATTGGGAGCTGAATTACTCCTGCATGTATACAGTCATGCGCTTTGCGCATGCTCCACAGTTTCCACCCCGGGCTTTGACCCAAAAGTGGAATAGCATTGAATGCATAACAGAAGAAGAAGCCGGTTTCAACATGGCAAAATCCAGAGCTGTGCATTTTTGGACTGTTGACAAGACACAGCTCATGCTGTGTTGGCTGAAAGAGTTAAATATTTTAAAACACATGGATGGGAGGAAAATATGAAATGGTGACTGGTCTGTGACGTAATAGGTTAACTGGAAATATACTAACAAGCTTATAGGTGACATATCGCCACCTATCGTGGTGGAGTCGAATATTCTTTGGTCAATTAATGTATTCCCCTTCCATGTTTGTATACTGGGACAAGGACAGAAGTCCAATTAAATGGCCTAGTCAGCTATAACTGTGGCTCAACTTAACTGTGCATGTAAATGTACTGATTGACTTTGACCAAAGCATCTCAACAACAGGTCCACTTATTGGCTTCTTCCGGAGCTTTGACCCTATCTCATAGTTGTCAGCAAAATGGATTTGCTCAGTTGTCACTGAGTGTGCTCAGCTGTTTTGCCCAGAAATCAAAGGCCATAAAAGTTCTCCCCACACAGAGACTGTCAGGGTTCTCTTTACCAGCATCTGCACAGAGAAATGGTGAGGGCTAACACAGGACCTCAGCTGGCAAGATAAAACCAACCAGAACACGGAACTGAAAATCCAGCTCCTAGAATTGTGCCTGACAACACTTGTTTCATTTGCAAAGGGATGTTTTACGTCCAGACCAAAAGAGAAGTCAAAGGGTCAACCATCTCCTTCAGTGTAGCTAACTTAAACATGAAACATTTCAGCACACAGATTGCTGCAACACACTTCTATGCAACCTGACATCTGGTATTGGTACATGCATGATATTTTTACTCCAGTCAATAATATCAACCAGAGCATCAAGTTCATGTTCATAAAATGCTGACAGAAAGAGCACATTGTACAGGAGACCTGCTCACACAGACCAATATCTTAATTTGAACTTTGATCAAAGATCAGTGGTGAGGACCTGCTTACAAAGAGCACAGGAAGAAAATGATAGGGAGAGGGAATTGTAGTGGGACCAGTGACCAGTTGCACAAAACACCTTCATTTTTCTCCTTAACTATGACACTTAAGGCTCAATTTCTCCTAAACTGAGGGACAGTACAGAATCTCTTAAAAGCATTAGAAAAGATTTTACAATGGTAAAAGTTTTCATGGAGACTGTCTGTTGGCTTGCTCCCACGCTTGTGATGCCTGTTCCAATCTCACAAAGTTGGCTTATAGTTAGATAGGGAAAAATGGCAGAGGAAAAAACCATATTGGTCAGAGGATGAAAGATCATTCCTCAATCATAGAAATCACATACTACAAAGCAAATATGACCCCCAAGTACCAGAAAACAGAAAATGGTTGTGGGAAGAAATTGCAACCAAAATTAGTGCAGCCAAATCTATAGTATTAAATCAAAAGTGTATCCATTGCTTTCTCCTGGTCACAGAACACTCTTCTCAGGGTATGTTATTTTTTTTCATTTATCACCATAAACTCTGTCATGTTGCAGTTAAGATAGAGTCAGAAAAAGATAGAGTTTTCCTTGCTTTGGTTGCAAAGGTCTTTTGTGCATCGGTCTAGGAATGCCTAGACCAAGACAAGGAGAAAACCATGAATATGTAAGTAAACATTTTAAGAAAACCTTAAGGAGAAGACTTAAGGGTGTTATGTGCGACCAGAAGATCGGAAGTTGTTGAGGTCGTCAGAGCTCACATATGACCTCAATGACTCTGTAAGAGTTTATACCCACACACAGTTTAAAGCCTGTGACTCCCCACTAGTCCGTTTGAACTGAAGAAGCATCTTGTGAATCAGTGGAAACATTTTTTGGGCATCACAACCCCAGTGAAATGATTTGTTTCACTGACAAGTTTTGATTCATTCGGTGCGATGGTCCAACATTTGGAAAGTCTAAAAGAGCTACATGATTAATTCAAGTTAGCAGAAACCAGAAATAGCTAGCCTGGCTAACAATGTCCCTGGTCTATGGTCCCAAGGTGTGAATAATCTGGATAATTTTATACATGGCAGCTGAACATTTTTGGCTTCATGCCCCACTGAGCAGCTTTCATAGGAATGGTGATGGGCTCTGCTGTATCCAGTTCTCTTCATACATCCATGATTAAGATGGTGAGAAGCTGTTGGAAGCTCCAGAAAAAGCAAGTAGTTGGGCAATTTGTTAACATAATTTGAAAAACTTGTCTAGTATGATTTGAGGTGAAAGTACCGTTACTTATACTTTTTCCCTACATGTTTCCAGCAGCAGACATATTTCACTAAAGAGACAACTTTGACCAAATGTCCATAAAAACATTCTAATCCTCACAAGGGTTACATTTATTGCAGGACTTCAACCCAGACATCACAGGCTGGATTACACTATCTAGCTGTAAATTCATATCTTATCAGTCTGGCTGATTTGCTGTCTCATCTGCATGTTTTCTGTCTGTTTTCAGTTCCAGGGAAGAATTATCACATGGAGGTGGTGATTGGCCTGTCAGCAGTGAGTGGGGTTCTTGGGCTTGTTTTCATCATTACCACATCCTATAACATGTGGAAAAGGACCAGAGCATGAGGAACTTTGACATTTATCTAAAAAAAATATTGAGAAAAGGAAGTAAGAACAAAAAAGGAGAAAATTTAATTTTGCATTTTCTACTCATTGTACAAGAGTGTGCTTACTGTAGGCGAAGGATAAGACATTCTTTATTTATGAGTTTATAAATGATGGAGAATTCAGCCACTCAGGGCCTTTTTATAACCAAACATGTATCAAACAGTAAGATACATTTGTTCATGTAAAACAATCTGGCAAACTCAAACCAGTTGATAATTGTTCATTCATATTTGCTGTAGCTCATGCCGATTTTGTTTTAGAACAACACCTACAAATAATTATCCATGTATTCTACACTGCAAATACATGCAACTAACTGAGAGGGGGAAAAACACATTGTGATTTACTTGGTTCACATTGAGGTTTTTAGCTGAGCATTGTTTAAGTGTCAAGCAGCTTCCATTACTCAGGATGAAAAATGACATTGAGCAGTGATACTCAACTTAAGGTCCATGGGCCAAATCTGGCCCCCGATAGGGTGCCAGGTGGCCCCTCAATCATTTTCTAATTCACTGTGAAATGAAAGTGATTCACACAGGGAATGTTTTTTGAACTTTTAATATACGGTAAGCTGCTACTACACAGCCGCGTGGCAGCCACCCTGACAACTGCCAGTCCACAAGAGCGTTCCCTAAAAAAAGCAAAGTGTTTTTTGGAGCGCTGCCACTACAGTCTACACTGTAAACCCCAATTTGTTCACTCAAATCAAAATGTATTGGAATCAGCTTGCACTTTTTTAATAACATTTTTGTTTTTGTTGTTGTTTGAGCATTTAATTCTATGTCATATTAACATAAAATTAAAATTAATTATGTTGAATTATGTTGTGTACAAACAGCATTATATATTGTAATCTTAAAGTCATTGTTCAGCTAAATCACAATTTGTGCACTCAGCTCAAAAATTTATTGGAAACAGCAAGTTCTGAGTACACCTGATACACATGACTCTTGTCTGGTTGCATACTTCTCTTGGTTTATTTTCAATCAAATGATAAAATAATTTGTGTTTTAATAACAGAATTCTATGTCATATTATGTGAGAATATCTAGTATACATAACACAGACTTATTGAGTTGTTAAATGAGAGCTAAATGAGCTTTACAAATTTTAGTCAAATGGACTCAAAATTAAAAAAATGTTGACTTGACATAAAAAAATATATATGTCAAGCTCACAAGGGTTAGGTTTTTGTGTCAAGTGACCATAAAGTTATTTATGTCATTTTGACAGCCCGGGACATTTTTGTGGAGTTTACCTTAAAAATAAAATAAATAAATACAACATAGTGAAAGGACCATGCTGCGTATGTTTGCTTTAAATAATTTTAGTATGTTTTACCTCAATGTATAAATACTCTATTGCATTGTCACCAATATATTCAAAGTTTGAAAAGTAAATAGAAATTTTCCAACCAAGTGCTGCCTGTTAATGTATTAGTACTGACACATTACTTTGCATTGCATCATTTTGCATCATTAGATTTTGATGTGGCTGGATGAGGTGAAGCTGATTATTACAAAACATTTTATTTGTCATTCATATTTTGTTCAGTTGTAGTGCATCCATGACAATGCATCATATTGTATATGCTTATCATGTGTTTTGTGAAAATGCACTACTACTACTAATAATAGGCTACTAATAGCTTATTTAAGTAGCACTTTTAAAAACATTAAAATAAAAAAGTTCTTCAAAGGTATAAAATAAGAGAACACAAATGTTGTAGGCCTGTATGTTAAGTACAGAAAATCAGTGGGCCGACAGAAATAAAAGAATGATTAAAATGGTGAACAGAAGTGAAATGAGGAAAGTAAAAGGTGGAATTATAGCCATTAGGTACTGTTGGTGATAGTCTGCCAAGTAACTCCAACTGTCAGATAAATGGTGTGGTGGGGATTTCAAACTAAAATAGTTGAAGTATAATGTAATGCATCTTAAAGTTTTACTCAAGTACACTACTTAAGTAACCTAAAAGTATGAAGTATACCACTACTTTGACTTAAGGGACTGTTCTTTATTCATGAGGGGGGAGGGTTGGTATAAAAAGGGGGAGGCATGTCAAATAATTTTTTAAAGGGATAGTGCACCCAAAAATGAAAATTCAGCCATTATCTACTCACCCATATGCCAAGAGAGGCTCAGGTGAAGTTTTAGAGTCCTCACATCCCTTGCAGAGATCCAAGGGGAGAGGGGTAGCAACACAACTCCACCTAATGGAGGCTTAAGGCGCCCCAGATTCAAAAGTCCAAAAACACATAATTGAAACCACAAAATATCTCCATACTGCTCGTCCGTAGTGATCCTAGTGTCCTGAAACCCCGACATAAAAAGTTGTTTGGAAAAACGTCATTTGAACTCTGTTTTTAATCTCAGTGTAGCCTGTAGCTCTAACTGCCTCTCTGTGCACCGCCTTCACGTGTGCACGCTTGCGTGCGAGACCAGCGAAAGCACGTGAACACATGAACATGTCTCACGGTCTCACCATGATATGGGTGAGTAGATAATGGCTAAATTTTCATTTTTGGATGCACTATCCCTTTAAGCACTCGGGAAGAACGTGTTTTTCATTGTGGCTTAGGGGATGGGTTTTATATATATATATATATATATATATATATGTATTACACACACACACACACACGTGTCAAAATTACAGCATTTATCATAACAGACACTTAAAAACAGAAATTTTATTGGATTTTCAAATTTCCAATGCTTGGAAACAACATGTACGACAAACCCTTCCATCAGAAAAAAAAAAAAAAAAAAAAAAAAAACAAATCTCATCTTAAAATAGTGCTATTTTATCAAAATCACTTTATTCTTTATCACATTTGAAATTTGGCCAAAAATAAACCATTAGCAAGAACTAACCAGCATGCACGAAAAGGAAAGAAAAAACACTGCAGGATCTTGTCAACTTAGGATGTTGTCTTAAACTTTAACTTTTCAACTTTTACACATCAAAAGGTATTGAATAACTAAGAAAGGGGGGGGGGGGTATATTTTCCACCACTCACTCAGGGAGGCTCAAGGAAAAATATTTGTAGCTTCAGGCAGGGTAATGAATATAAAGAAAAAGAAAAACAACCCAGCTACCCCCCCTCCTCTAACATGTAAAGAACAGTCCCTGAGTAAAGAGCTGACGATGTCTTCCATTTTATCACAGGACAGTCACTCTGACTCTGAGAAGACAAACAGCGCCCTCCTGTGATTCCACGGGTGTAGTACTGTTTAACAAAAACAAAGCAGCTCAGTCAGTACGGAAGGAAATGTTCCTCATGCTAGATGCTTTTAAACTGGACAAGTTAAACCGGCGCCAGAACGGTACAGATACAATAATATCATTGGTTGCAGACTTTTAACGTTTGTACCGAACTCTATGTTTTTCTGCAACCAGCATCGGGACACTCCGCTGGCAGTTAAGAGGTGTCAAAAACGAACTCTTATTTGTATGCAGCCTGCAGGAAGGATACTGTACACTGCAGCGAGGTAGAATGTAACTACCAACAACCGCTAATAACCAGCAGCTTTCCGATTTATTAAAATGGAAACATTTGTATCCTCGTGAGCGTAGTTTTGCAGTTTGGCGCAGTCTGTCTGGATATCGCGGGTGCTAACAAAATGGAGGGTAATAAGTACTTGTTAAGTTGGCTGGTGTAACGTTATATGGAGCCGTGCTTTTAGACTGCGTGTTGGGGATATTATTGTTGGACGGGGAGAAAGAGTAACATAAATATGTCAGGAATACAGCAAACACATTCAGTTAAGACGGCTTTTACCGGAAGTGGAACGTTGTTACCAAACTATAACGTGGGTGATTGACTGCACAACAACAACAGAATGTGTTGTGACACGCCTTTACCGACAGCCACTTATAAAATAGAGTATTAAAAGAGGAGCAGGTAGCACAAAATGACAGACTCCGGGGATAGAGCAGATGTTCCCGGCTCCTCCGGCCTCAGCAGCGGGACCGGGCTAGGCTTCAGCGTGGGCAGAGGACTCCCAGGCCGGGTCAGGACTCTGTCCTCTCCCACCCCACCTGGAAGACTGACGTCTCTCAGAACCAGGGACCTGACACTGGGGGGAGTGCTAAAAAAACCAAAGGTAATGAATGACACACCAAAGAAACATGGATATGATCTTTGCTTTATGATACTAAATCATCAGTAGACAACAAAACCATTAACTTTAAGTAATAAACTACTGTAAGAAACAGCCATCAGAGCAATGTTAACGTTTCTTCTCAAAACATTATGAGTTATGTAATTAATGTTATCTGACAAAAAAACACATTGGAATTATTAATTAGTGAAGTTACAATTATCTCATTTGACCGATACCAATATCGATACATATTTTCTCCTATCTAATTTTATTGATCATCAGGTCTCTTCGGAATTAAGATCAGATTATGCATGCATGTTCTTGTCATGATGGCCCACCAGCAGATGGAGACAGGAAATAGTATGCTTTTCAATGTATTTAATACTCATTCACTGTGCAAAATAAGAAAAGCATGTTGGCTGATTCTAATAGCTCATTTTAAAACTGATATTGGTGGATACGGATGACGTACCGATATTATCAGCATGTTGGCTCATTTTGAATGCTCATTTTTTAAAGCCAGTATCTGCGGATACTGATGGTGTGCCAATATCATTTTGCATCCCAAATACTTTTCTTAAATACAGATTGCAGCTTTTATCCCAAGCACAATCAACATTAGTACAATTTTATGCTTGTACAATCCTTTACTTAACAGTACGGAAAACTAAAAGACACCAGAATCAAACATGATAATATTTATATGATGAAACCAACCTGCGTCATTTTGACCCCAATATAAAATAACTGAAATCCAGACTTCTTTTTTTCTCAATGCAACAGTGGCTAGTTAGAGACCTTAATCTCAGTATAACCCCCTGTCAAAATAAAGGTGGAATAAATGCAGACCTAATTCAAATTTACATTTTTCAATTTGTACATAATGTAAAATGAGCTGGGTTTACTATGAACTATGAACACCACACACTACAGGCAGTTATAACAGATAAAACCAGAACAGGTACTGGATTATGATGATTTGATGATTTGTGTTTTTGTAGCACTTGATGTTATTTATTTATTAAACTTTTTGTTTGTTTGTTTTTTGTTTTGATATTGTTACATTTGGTATATAATGTTGATATCTTTACTTACTATGTTATGTTGTAGTTATGTGGCTGCAGTATGGGTGAAGAGCCAAAAACAAAAGTCCCACTTTGTGGGACAATAAAGTTAATTTTGATCTTGATCTTGATCTTAATAACACACAATTTAGCCCATGCTATGTTCAGGGCATATTGGCATGGGATAGTAGGAGCAAACATTTGCGACCTTCCTGTCTGTGTTTGGGAACAAAGGCAGCACCTTTTTCCAGCTGAGCACCGGACATCCACAGCAGCAGGTGGAGTTTTCCTTGAATTGATCAATTGAATTTGATAGTCATAAAACATTTTATTATGTAATGATGTGATGTATTTCTGACTTTGAACATCTTTTTATCTTAAATACTGCTCTTCAGAGCTGTATGTAGTGTTGTCAACAGGGCACTTGAGGAAATCTGTGTCAGCTGCATCTATGTCTGTCTCCCTCTGAATGTGTGGCTTGAACTGACTGATGAGTGCAACTACCTCTAGTGTGTGGTACTTTAAATAAGGGGTCATGGCAAACATGGACACAAGAAATAGTTCCATGTTTTTAAAACCGCATGGGCGGAATTGAGTGCTTTTGACAGGGGTCCCCCAGGACCCCAGTACATATAGAATTTATAGCATCTAGAATATACCATGTTGCACCTTTGTCATAAATCCCAATAGAGAAGTACTCAGTATTATCAAAGTCTTATATTTCTCTCTGTTCTCCTTTTCACGTGAAGAAAACCTTTGAGCCAAATGTGCATGCCGTGAGGAAAAGCAGAGATGAGTAAGTGGCGATCAATCAGATAATTCAAGTCTCCTGATATAATGAACGTTTTTAGAATTTATTTGTGCTGTTAGTATGTAGTGTATAGCCTAATGATAATAAATATCATGTCTGATATTTCCCCAGGTTAAAGGAGGAGATCCATGTGGCTCCAAAAAAGGAGAGAAGAGAGAGGGACGAGAGGAGAAGAGAGAACAGAGGGAGGAGGAGAGAGAGGCCTCAGACCATTCAGTCTCACTCCATCTTTGAACAGGGTCCCGCCGACACCGTACGCAAAACAGGTGCACAACTTCTTATGCTCCTTTCTTATTTTATGTATCCTTTCTTTTCACCAGTATGCACAGCAGAGGTTTGTTACAGATGCAGTACAGGTGCGCTTCTACCCTCAGAGTCAGCCTGTCTCTCTGTTCAGGCTGGCGCAGTGCCACAGACCTGCACGACTCCGCCACCTCTCCTGTGTGTAAACTGGTGAAGAAAGAGAGGAAAGACTCAGAGGAGGATGAAGATGAGATTCTCAGTAAACTACAGAGGGATGATGTAAGTACTTTGTGCTCCAGTTTCTCAAGTCTGTCTTAACAGACAGACAGTCAGGTGCCCATATGAACATTTCACTTGCAGCAGTTGTTCATCCTTAAGACACACATATTGAATTTGGTACTAAAAATCAATCAATAAATCAGTCCATTTATCTGTTACATGTGATAAGGGTTTAGCTGGTGTAAAAAAAAAAATTAAAACCAGGTTATAATTAAGCCAGTATACTGAATTTTACTATGGGGGGCTGCACTTGACTCAGCAGAAACTTATGACATGGTGTCCTAACAGCAAATGAGCATCCAACTGCCGCCACCACTGCCTGTCACATCACCTAACATAGCAGCTCTCCGTCCACGTTAAGTCCATTAAATATGCACTTCTGTCGTGTAATGTAAACAAACCACGAACCTACCAGCAGTGTGCTTCAGATCAGACTGGAGATAGGTGAGTAGCCTACTTGCTGTCTTCCTATGTTTGTACATTTTAAACAGAAAATACATGTTTTATGTAATGATATTTACTGGAAATGACCTTCAACATAGCCAACAGCAAGCAGGTTGTTATTAGTGATGGTCATTTACCAGACACTTTAAGCTCTCTGGTGATCTCCCACCAGCCAGCTGCTTCCTTAGGTTTTTGTGGTGAAATAATAAGGTATCATATAGATAACTCTTTATTTCAACTTCACGAATCAGCTGTTCCTTGTCCATTGCAGCACTTTTAAAGCAAGCAAAAGGAATAAATATAAACAGTTTGCACTAAACCAAATTGGTTAAACTTGTACACTGGATTGGCAAAACTGTAAATGGTCTTGTAGTAGTGGTCTTGGATGGCATGGACAAGAGGAACAATTACAGCAATCAAAAACTGCTCCAATATTCATCAGTGGTCATAACTAATGCTATATGTTGCACCCACAGTTCATAGATGATCCAGGCCTGAGGAATGATGCCAAGCTGAAACCCATCCAGCTACCCCTGTGTCAGTCCAGTAGCTTCAGTAAGAGTCAAACACGGATGACCACCACAGCATGTGAGAAAACTCCCTCTGACTTCTCCTGTACTACTGTAACTGTCCCACCACTAACAGTGTCACATTATATGTTAACAAGGAGCTCTGTTCAGTCAGGACACTCAAGTGAAGTGATTTATTGTAGCAATATGCTTTTTTTTATTTATTTATTTATTTTTTGACAGTGTGTCTCTACTCATAGATACAGTCTGTGTATCCAGTCGCCCTTACCGTGAGGGCGGAGTCTGCAAGGAGGAAAAGTCCTTTCCCCCAGCCTGTAAATGCTGGGAAAGCACAGTTTTTCAACTCACATAAGAAACACTGTTACTGTAAAACTTAAATTAAAAGCCTGGTCCCAATTAAACACCCAGTCTATTTTACTAGCCCAGTGTGGCTACACATTTTGACAAATAAATCCCTGTCTCAATTAGATGCCTGGTCTGGTTGCCAAGCAGTTCATTTTTATAGAAGTTCTTTGGATGTATAAACCAGATTGTTGACTACCCACTTGAGCTCATGTTAGTTAGCTGTTAAGATTGTGCATATAAATATATATGTCTAAACTTTTGCCAATATGGAGATGCTAAACATTGTTAGCTCGGATCATTCCATCTTACTGAAATTACGAGCACCCGAGAAGACTAATTCATTCAGAATTAGTGGCATGAAAAAAAAAAAAACAAGTGGTGACTCCCTTCCTCTGACATTGTCATAATATCAAAATGTGTCCTTTCCTCGATCACCCGGTAAGTTATATATATTCGTTGGTCTGTAAGAGTTCACCGATCAAAAGAATAAAAAAGTGTTTTTATAAAAATTAATCCAAGTTATGAATATTGTTTTAACAGGATAAAGTAATGTTAAATCAGTTTACCGGGTGCCATTATCCTCAGGTGCCGTAAAACAAGTGTCAGAACATAACACATAATTGATATGTTATTTTAAGCCTAATTTTTATACAAGTAATATTCATGCTGGTTCAAAAAAAACAATTTAAATGTGTTTCCCATCTTTGCTGAGCAACACTTTGGTTTAAAATGAATAAAAGACCTGTCTTAAATATAAGAGTGTTGAGTTTGGTGATTTGAGCACATAATTGTATGGGCTACAAATTGAAATTTTACAGTACATTTTTAAGAGATAGGATTAATTAAACTTGTCGTAATATCAGTGCTCTTTAGCCATTAACTCTATGATGTAATAGACCAGCATGTTTTAGTGAATTCCATGCACGTTTCTGGACAATATGGCAGCACTAACATTTCTCAATGCCATTAGCCTATGCTGTGATGTTATCATGCAGTGAGTTTCAGCCTCAATAGCTATAGGTCCTTGGAGACGCACAGGTTTTTTTTTACCAGTGGCCAAACAATCAAACACTGTTTGGATAAAACTTACTTTTTGTTTGACGAGAAACATCCTCGAAATCACCAGTCAGCATATATTTATGCTGGGTGAATTAAGAGGGGTTTTTTTTTTTGGCCTAACTAGAGGTGGTGATCAATGGAACAGTGGAAAGACAACCCAAGACAGTTTTCTGTGAGTTTGATTTGATTCCGTGAGCTGAATGAAGTTTGTTTCACAATGATAAAATTACTGTGTATTTAAATTTAGTCTGGTGAGCTTGACAATAGCAATTTCAGGGCTATTCCTGGTTAAACAAAAAGGATCTTACTTTTAAAAAAAAGGTCTTCCTCTGTAGGGATCCATTCAACAATCTTGTCAGACACTTAGAATAACAATCTGAGCCTGTCGAAACAGGAAAACCGGTTCCAAATTAAGCACTGGCCCCAAACCAGCATTGTAACTGCTTTGGTGGAAAAGGGGTATCAGTGGCAAAAAAACAAGTACTGTTAGTGATCTAAACTGACAATGTGAACATGCCCTGAGTGTTTACATCGCAGCCTGGCCGCTCCTTTCAATACTGGACTTATTTTTTTTTAAAAATGCGCTTCCTATAAATCACAAAAACATTGGAAAGTAGTGTTCAGGTTAAAAATTACCCTGGATTTTAAGTGTATTTGACATGCAGAAAGCCATACAACACACAGCATGGTAGCGACTGCTTTGTTTTTCCCCTCTGAGTAAAAGGATTTGACATTTCTGAAAGCAGGCAGCAGTGTAGCAGCATGGATGCAGAACTCAGTGTTGTTGCATGCAGACTGAATGAGCACCAAATGTTTACATGGACATTAAATTACAATGTGACTCCAAGGCTCCATGTCAGTGCATGATCAATGAGTGTTTGTGGTTGTCATGTTGGCAGCTCCAGAGACCCCTCCTCTGTTCAGACCTCCATCCTGCAGAGCTCAGAGCAGAGCAGGCCACGGCAGAACAGAGCTGCCCAAACCAGAGCAGCCATCTATGGTGGAGCTGCTGCAGGATCTCAGCCTGTCTGGCAGAGAGGAGCTCTTTTTCATGCAGTTACCTGACAGCATGCCGGGCACAGTGTCTAGACAGAAGGCTGACACCCCTCTAGGATCTACAGCAGAGAAACCTGCCAAGAAGGAAGGCAAGCCTGAAGACAAGAGGCCTTCACATCTAGAAGCACAAGTGAGTTAACAGGGTGAACACTGACACTGTGATGCTGTCATGGCAACATGCAACATATTGGAAGATGCTTCAGAGCACAATATGTGGCGTGATCTGTATATAACATACATGGAATCACGTGTTTTTATTGTGCACATAAATAAGCACATAAGATGGTGCATTCAATGGCTCCCCTCTTTTCTTCTTTGTGTTGTTACTGAGTCTGTTGGAAAGCCTTTTCCACTGTGATTTGTGAAGTCCTGAATTATGCAGGTTTTAAGGTTTTAAGAGATTTGTGTCTGAGTTTTCTGCTTAATGCTAAGGAGGATGGGATTTTGTTTGTGGTACTTCCCAGCTCTACTCCCTTCACTACACATCTGCTCTCACTAAAGCCCAGTTTCCACCAAACACTTTCGGTATAGTACCTTTGGAACAAAGGTAACCCTTCAGACATGGTACCTAGACCCTAGGTCTGTTAAGCACTTCCACCGCAAACAGTACTCTTAAATGTGGGCAGGGTTGTTGCCACTCACTGCTCCGTCCATCACTTGATGTATTTCCTCTTCACCGGTGACACCGAGGAGAGTCTGAACTTCATTTACCGTTCACAGAACAGGCTGCAGTGAGAGTCTCTCTTAATGGGATATTCAAAAATAGCAGGTTGTGTGAAACATATCAGCTGTTGGCCAGTGTCAGACAGTTATTAACAGGTTGTTTATCTGCACCTGTCGTCAGCAGGCTGTGGTGAAGGAGGGCTGTCCTGTGCTGTCACAGCTCCCAGAAGGATTTTTGGGTAAACTGCAGATCAGAAAGTCAGGAAAGGTGGAGCTGAAGCTGGGTAACATCGCCATGGACGTCTCTGAGGGAGCTGCATTCTCCTTCCTGCAGGTACTGTGACTGGACTGTGTGTGTCGGTGTGTGTGCCAGTGACATATTATACATGCATTATAAGAGGTACAGGGAACTGTTACTATGAGAAGATGTGTCAGTCTCTGGGTGTTCTTTAAATGTATTTCTTTTAGCATCCATGACTTTGCTCAAACATGTCAACTTTGCCTGTGCAAAATAGTAAACGTTAGGCATTCACACATAAAGCAGGAGTGTGGAGATTTTATAAAAAGACTTTATTAGTGACATGGCTTGTTCATGAAACAGCTTTTGTAAATGAAGAGTTTTGACCTTGGCACATTTCATCAGGGTCCAGACATAGACTGGGTTCAGATGAAGAGACAGTACCTGAGCCTGTTTTTTTATGCTCTTATTCAGGGGTGTGTCCTTATTGGGTGATTAGGACAACACATGGGAGATAATGAGCATCATATAGAGATTACTTTCACAAAAATTCGCAAAAAAGGTAATTGAAACAAATCAAACACCTTTTTTCTGTGTTAGATAAATAGGAAAAATCTATTCTGAAACCAATTCCTTTATTTAGCATCAAGTTGATGCAACAGTGCATCAACTTGATGCACTGTTGCATCAAGTTGAAAATCAATAGATGGTTTTAAAGCACTTTAAACCAATGGGGCACAACTGGGTATGGACAGTAGAGACATGTCTATACAGAATCTTCCCTGGTGAATTTTGAGCAGATTATTAAAATATAACCATTAATATCTGCCATTGTCTACTCAATGGCACACAAAAGGTTAACAGACAACGTTTTCTACAAGTCCCACCTCTCTAACCCAACATGCCTAATGGGATTGGCTTTGCTGTTTCTTGCTAATGTGAGAGAGGCTGTAGCTGCACCTGTATTGGGCTTTTTTTAATTCCTCTTCAAAACTGAACATTTAACTATTGCAATACCAGATGAGCTCTGCCAATAATCATAGAACTGGGCAATATATAACTAATATATCTATCATAATATAAGAATAGATATAATGTTTACATTTGAAAGGCTGCATTTCAGTAAAGTGATGTAATTTTCTGAACTGACCTGACTGTTCTAGTTTCTATTATTTGCCTTTACCCACTTAGTCATTATATTCAGTTCAGTTCAGTTTTCTTTATAAAGCTTAATATCGTAATTTGCCTCAGAGGGCTTTTCAGACATCCCTCTGTCTTTTGACACTCACAGCAGATAAGGAAAAATTCCCCCTAAAAAACTTAAACAGGGAAAATCTAAAAAATCTCACAGTGTAAATTTTTTGTGAAAGCACCAATATTGAGACCTGCAATATCATCGTTATATCAATATTGACATACTTGGTCAAAAATATTGTGTTATTTGATTTTCTCCATATCACGCAGCCCTTATGTTAAGTCAAGATTCAATTCAATTTAATTTTATTAGATGTGACCAGAAAAACAGAGCCTCTCTGTCTGTATTCATAAAGAAGCCATTTCTTCTTTTTCCTTCTGCAGCAACTGGTGTCTGTGCATCTGTCTGATGGTCGAACTGGAGACATGATGGTGTTGGGAAACGTCCATCACAAACTGGTCTTATCTCCTGACTTCCAGGCTTTACTGAGAGAGGCTTCAACACAGCAGCAACAGGAACCCTGATTATCTGTCATATATTACACAGACACCCAACAGAGCTGAGACCACACAGCACAGATTCTATGACACATGAAAAGATAAGTTTGAATTGTGTGGGATTCCTGACCTGTTACCACACCAACAGATCACTGTGGAGGAAAGGTCTATTGTCCATACCTCTGCTTTGAGGTTTTTAAGGCAGCTATGTACCGTAGAGTTATCCCGTTTGTGCTATGATTTTGTTTTTGTTTTGTTTTTTTTTAACATCCTGTGATAGCAAAACAATCTGCCAGAATCTGAATGATTGTTTTTCTCTGATGTGAAGACACTGCCAGGGGGACATGTTTTTCAAAAAGATACAGATAATCATGAGATAAATACATGGTATCAGATTCAACCTACTGACCCATGAGGACTGTTGTGGATGTTACCTGAGCGCAGGCCATTCGTTTACACTCAATCAGTTCTATAAACACCAGCAGAGCAGGCAACATGATTGCCAGCTTGAGACTGACTGAAGACCAGCAAACGTTGTTCCCAGCTACAGGCTGAGTTAGTCAATGCCCAAAGGAAGATCACCGAGGATGCCCATCATCAGAGGCTATCTTTAAACAGAGACAGATGATGTTATCATTTGGCTGAAGTTCCTGACTTTGGTCCATCAGAACCACTGAGTGAATGTCACTTCAATTCAGGGCTTTACAGCATACAACATCCCTCTGTCCTTAGGACCCTCGCAGTGGATAAGGAAAAACTCCCCCCAAAAAACCTTTATAATTACCTTACAGGTGCTTTGATAAAGTGATCTTTCATGTGTGCACTGAGCTCCTTTATTAACTCCTATAGATCTGTCTCTGAAAAATGGGAAAATGGTGCAAAGCAAATTCCTCAACTGCTCAACCAGTTACTGCATTGATGCACAGTCACTGCACTGATGTACAGTTACTGCAGTTATGTACAGTCACTGCACTGATGTACAGCTGCAATTTGTAACTTATGTTGTATTAAGCAAAATCATATATAATAGTTTTTCCAGTTTTATTATTGGATGTTTGTGTTGTGTTTTTGAACCAGCATGTTTGTTTGTTTGTTTTTGTTAGATTTTTTGTATTTTTGTTTTTTGCTACCTCAGTATCATTTACTGTTTCACTTCTCCTCATCAGACCCCTCGTCAGCTTCATAGAGCAACTTAACAGCAGCTGTAAATCCAGGTGTTGCTCACCTCCAGTGAAGTTGGTGAAGTAAAACTGTTATGTATGTAAGGCTTTATTTTAAAGCTCAAGTGTAGGATTTAGGGGTATGAATATCGTCAGAAATGGAATATAATATTCATAACTATGTTGTCATTAGTTTATAATCACATGGAAGAAAGTAAAGTTGTGTTTTCTGTACCTTAGAATGAGCCATTTATATCTTCATATGAAGCAGGTCCTCTGGCTCAGAGTCCATCAATGTGGTTTCTGCAGTAGCCCAGAAAGGACAAACCAAACACTGGCTCTTGATTGGGCCACCGTAGTTCTTCTACACACTTTGCACACAGGAGAAGTGTCAGTTCTGCAATTGCTAGATTGCTAGATGCTACTTAATCCTACAAACTCTCAAAAACCCTTCATTACAGTTTCTGGAAGTCCTTTCAGATGATCTTTTTTAAAAAATATTAAGTCAAGCTGTCAGAACAATAACAGTACCTAAATCTCAGCATCTTGAATGACCTCTTAATAAAATCAAATGCAAAAGACTGCAGCTTCTGATACAGTAGATGGTGTCATTCTGATAAACAGGCAGTGGGTTACTTATAAGGTTATTCATGGCTCCAGAGATCAGATTTCCATGATGTGTGCAGCCTCAGGTCTTAAGTCAGGACACCCTGGCTCTGGAATGACCTGCTTTGAGAAGCTCAGGCTCACACAATCATTTCATTTTAATGTGTTTTATACTGATATGTTATTATGTTTTATAAGCTGTACATTGTAGATTTTTATATTTGTTTGACTGGGGTTTTGGGGTGGGTGGGTTTTTTCATTGTTTATGCGTAAAGCACTTTTTAACATTGTTTTTTAGAGATGCTATAAAAATAAACTTTATTATTATTATACAGAAAGTGTGCTCAGGGTGTGGTCCGTACACCCTGTTGAGAGATGTGGACTGGAGTCACACAACTTGGACTTGGGTCAGACTTTCACAAATTTGATGACTTTAGACCCGACTTGACAAAATCAGTAAAGACTTGCAACTTCACCTGGACACCAATGACTTGTGACTTGACTTGGGCTTGAGCCTTTTGACTTGAAAATACTTGATACCTTCCCCAAAGCCCAAATATCAAAAATATCTGCCCTGGGGCAGATGCAGAACAAGCTGGCAAGATTATATATCTCATCCTGCCTGGGAACCACCAGAGGATGAAAATGGATGGATGGACATTGTTAAAATACCATTACGTTTAGTAAAGAGCACATCATGGCTTATGACGTTCAGGACTTGAAACTCATCAAGTATAGAACTTGGGATTTGACTTGAGACTTGCCTGTCTTGACTTGGGACTTTATTTGAGATTTACTCACAAACAATGACTTGTTCCCACCTGTCAATAATAATGCAACAGATAAAAAGTTTCACTCAGAAAAGGTCAGTGAAAGCTTGCTGTTAATAACTCATTAGTAAAAATGCTGCAATATTGGCACAATATAAAGGTTTAATTGGGATGACCAGAGTAAAAAAAGAGTAGCACTTGAATTTCACTTTCAGTATTTAACATTTTAGAGCAGTATACAGACATAAATAAATGGCTTATAACTCAGTATACAGTGATGTAGCTGTAAGCAGATATAACGACCGTTAACATTTAGGATTTCTCTTATGAAGACATTTTATATTAATGCAACTGTCTTTTACTGTATTTTTACTCATTATCTGTTCATAAGCAGCTTCTACTTCTGGGTGCTCACAGGAGGAGTTCTAGCTGTTAACAAATACATTAATCATCACTTAGATCTGCTTACATTTACATGACAGTGCATTAAAAGCCATTTATCAAAAATCTTACAGCAGTTTATATACTGCTTATAAATGATAAATATAGGAGCCCAAAGTGTTCACACCTAACAGTAAAATGCCTGTTTCATTCTAAATCTGGAATTACAGCCCCGCGGTTGTAGCTTCCACAAACCTGTCAAGTTTCTTACAGTTTATATCCACGTCTGTGAAAACATGGATGCTTCACACCCATCGTCCTCCCAGCAGCACAGAAGATCTATACAATCAGCACAGTTTCAAGATGGGCGTCCTAGATTAGTGTCACCAATTCAGTATCTGATCAAATATTTCCCCTTTTGTTCCTGAGATATGACACTGAGTACTAATCATAAGTGTTTTATCCAGATCATTGTGATGTCACAGTGAAGTTGACCTCTGACATTTTGGATATTCATGATTTTATCCTAGTAGACATTTGTATGAAATTTTGTCATAATTAGGCCAAAAATATGTTTTGAGAGGTCACAGTAACCTTGACCTTTGACCACCAAATTCTTATAGGTTCATCCCTCAGTCCAAGTGGATGTTTGCACCAAATTTGAAGAAATTCTCTCCAGATGTTCTGGAGATATCGTGTTCACAAGAATGAGATGGGTGCAAGGTCACACTGACCTTGACCTTTGACCACCAAAATCCAATTAGTTCATCATTGAGTCCAAGTGAACATCTGTGCCAAAAAAGAAATCCCTAAAGGCGTTCTTGAGGTATCACCTTCACAAGAATGAAACAGACGAGGTCACGGTGACCTTAGCTCTCGACCATCAAAATCTCATCAGTTCATCACTTTGAGAGTGAGATTAACGGATGGACAACCTGAGAACATAATGCCTCTGGCTACCGCTGGCACTGAGGCACAAAACTTATAGGCCTCCGGAGTAAAGAGACATTTAACTTTGTGGCTTTCATGTGTTATGCTTTAGGTACCATTAAAGGTCGTTTTTGTAGAACAGTTTATGTACATTTTTATTCAGTGGATACACAATACAAAGAAAACATGCTGTCTGAATGATGGGACTAAAAACATTCTACAAGCAAAATAAACTGTAAAAACTGAAAATATGTTCTTCATAGTTAACAAGTGTGTGAATTTAAAAACATGATGACCAGAAAGAATCTGCATTTTAGGACCAAGGGAGGAATGATGCTTTACGCCACCATACATAAACATTAGGATGAAGGTGCTGTGGGGGAAAAGCTCATTTTATTAGGAAGCCTAACAGCTTTTTACAGCAGTTATCAGAACAAAAAGCGTCTCATATAAAGCTCATCTGGAACAATACATAATGTGAAGATTTTGTGTTTAAAACACAAAATGTCAGTAATGTTATGCTAGAAATGACAAATGGCAGGATTTCACAGTTTGAAGTTGCAACTGTACAAAGGTGTGCTACAACAATAACAGTGGTGAGACCAAGACTTCAGTCAGGTTGCATCATGGGTACCATGGTAGTCTGATCTACAGAGAGGTGTGTCTGTACATTTGCAACCAATGGCACTTGTCTCAGAGTAGAAACTTACTGAGAGCTTGCCAACAAGCTGCACCGAGGAGTGCACACATCCACAGCTGACATACGCTCTGTTCAAGAAAGTCAGCTGTCACTCCAGTTTTCTTTTCATCAATAAATCCCACAAAAATACCAAAAACTGACAATATGTTCGTTTGTCTTTTAGTTTTGTTTAGCTGAAAGTAATTCCTTACTAATGCATCATTTCCTCCTGTTTGCTAAAGACAACAGTATTTTGGAAACCTTCTGAGGGTTTTTAAAAATATATATATTTGTGCAGTGCTTTTAAAGATATATACCTTCAATATGAGCCAGCGGGCTTGGGGAGGAGAGCCACAAACAGTGTAGGTATATAGAGACCAGCTAACATATTGTTGGTTTTGGGATTTCCATGGATTTCCTGACAAGACAAATGCAGAATAACTGTAGACCTTTTTATTTTCCTCAGTATATTGTGGTTACAGTCAGGGCAATGGAACCTTTTGAACACTGCAGACAGAGAAGTATAAACAATATGTGTGCCTCCCATGATGGCTTTAACATTTCACTCACATCTAACCTTCTGAAATCATTGCATTTCATTTAATAACTCACTTTCTAAGCCTGAAACAATCCCACACTACATCATATGGATGGATTCAACTGACCAATCACAACTGACCAATATTTGTCTGCATTCAGGGTTTATTTTTTGATTTTTTTTTACTGAAGAGATGATGCTTGGTTATTGCAAAATGATCTTGCAGTGTCTGAATGCGGGCTTTGCCCTGTTGAACCTTAAAAGCATTCATGACAACTGGGAACTCTGTGATTTTTAAGTTAGAGGAAAACCAAGCAGAGCAGTCCTAGGTCATCAGAGCTTCAGTCTTCAGTTCTCATTAACATGTTTTTTCCCTCTAAACTCTAGAAAAACACATCTTATGTCTTCTTCGTAGTCCTGGCAGTTTTCGTAGAGGTGCTTGTCGTTGTCTTCCTGATTGTTTTGGCCTTTCCTTTGGTGGTGACCTTCTTCACTGCTTTAGCCTTCTTTGTTCCTTTCTTCGCTGCTGATGTTCTAGCAGCAGGTTTTTTCTTCTTGGTAGACAGGGTCTGCTCTCGGACCAGGTCTTCTCGTCCGATCTCTATCATGTGGTCCTCCCACGACTTTATCTCATTCTTGTAGCGAATTTTGTCATCCTCGGCCAGCTGGGTGTAGACCTGAGATGAGGAATTAACAGATATCTGAATACAGTACAACAATGAATTTACTGTTTCATTTGTGCAGCAGCATGAAGGTCTAAAAATAAATGATGTGTTATTATTTGGCAAACCTTTTTCTGATGACTAAACAGATTCCTCCAGTCCTCCAACAGTGACTTCATCTTTGCCTAAATGAACAACATTGATGGAAACGTATCAGTAACTGTTGTGCAGAGCCATGGCAATTCTTTTTAATTAAAACTAGTCCATACCCATTGGTAGCTTTGTCACCTTCTACCTATGCCAATCCTCAATGCCTATGTGCAGTTTCACATAGACTGACCACGCCAGTGAGTAGAAAAACGTGGGGCAGACAAAATGACTGACTGACTGACAGAATGACACACTGACAGTTTCTGTGATTATGTACAGCATACCATACCATGACTTAGTCATCCCAAAAATTAGAAAAAAAACAACAACATTCGGCGACAGGGGGAGCCACAGCGATCGGTCGCATTTTAGCCATTTTTAAGGATTTTTCTGTTGTTATAGCACCACCCAGTTGCCAATTAGATTTAAATTTCTCCAGTCACCTTGAGGCATCCTGCTCTACATATCTACCAAGTTTAGTAAAAATCGATATGGCAGGGGCGTCGGTGGCTTAGTGGTAGAGCCCCATGTACAAGGCTGTTGCCGCAGCGGCCTGGGTTCGACTCCAGCCTGTGGCCCTTTGCTGCATGTCTCTGCCTCTCTCTCTCCCCCTTTCACACTTCACTATCCTATCAATTAAAGGCAAAAAATGCCCACAAAAATATCTTAAAAAAATAAAAATAAAAAATAAAAATCGATATGGCGGTTAGGCCTAGATAAGAAATTAGCTCTCTAGCGCCCCCATTTTGTTTGATCGGGTCAGTAATGGACGGGTCCCCTCAGATTATGTGTGGTCATATGCCTACAATGTTGCGTGGTGATCGGTGAAACCCTTGAGATGTTATACACCTTCACGTGATGAGCCACG